AATAAATAAAATAAAAATAAGTGGGGCGCTGGACACTTGGGTGGCTCAGTTGTTAAGCATCTGCCTTCGGCTCAGGTCGTGATCCCAGAGTCCTGGGATCGAGTCCTGCATCAGGCTCCCTGCTCAACGGGGAGTCTGGGGAATCTCCTTTCCCTCCCCTCCTGCTTGTGTTCCCTTTCTTGCTGTGTCTCTCTCTGTCAAATAAATAAATAAAATAAAATCTTTTTAAAAATAAAAATAAAATAAAATACCCCTGTGGCTAATAATACATTATATGTTAATTAAAAATTTTTTTAAATGCAGACAAAAAATAATAAAATAAAATAAAATAAAACTAACTACCCTATCACCCCTGGCCCATAGTGCACCTCCTATGTATGTGTGAGATAATCCACCAGGCACTGTGTGCGCTAGAAACCAAATCAGCTAAGCCAACTCTCCCAGGAGGGGGAAACGCAGCTCCAGGCTGGGGAAGAGGGCACAGGTTGTGCACTGCTCCAGGCTTAGCTGCTGTCTATGGGGTTCCATAGGATCTCTGAACAAAGGGATTAGGGAGGAGTGGTAGTCCTTAGGCCTGACAGCTTCAACACCCCACTTCTGAACTACAGATAATCTGAACCCACTGCCCTTGCCCAACATGACTCTGAGTTGCCCAGTGTCTAAAGAATCCATTGCTCTCTCCTAGTCCCGAGTCCTGAAGAGAACCTGTTCCCCTTGCAGAGAGTGTGCAGTGGACAAGGGGGTAGTGTTATGGGCAAGGGCTGGCTTCGTTCTTTTGACATGTAGGGCTGGTGAAGCCGGCAACTGGCCACAAAGAGCTTGGGGAGTCAGTTCAAGGGGGCACAGCCCCTCCCTGCACACCAGGCCCTCCCCTGCTTCAGCCTCCCCACCGCCCCGGATGCTCGCTCTGAATCACGGGCTTCTGCCAATTACAAAAGGACTCTTAACTCTGCTTCGCAGCCCCTTGATTGATAGCACTGGTGAGTGAAATTATAAGCCTTAATGATCACGTTAATTTCTGGGGAAAGGGAAGCGGTCAGAAGAGGTTCTCAATCACAAGCGCCACAATCAGCTGGGTGAGTTCAATGACAGGCCAGAGCAGGGAGAGAGGGGAAAGAATTAACTTTTTTAAAGGTCATCAGCAAGTAGTGGGAGAGTAACCAGGCATCAGATGATCCTGGAGCCTGGACTCGAACCCCCGGCCCGGGGCTCCTGACTGAGGGTGGGCCTCTCGACTTCTCCTCCTTAGCCTGGCTCCCAGGCCAATTCCCGGGCCCTGCCCGAGAGATTCTGCTGTCACCGTGCTTGGGACACGGCTTGGACACTGAGGGCTGTGAGGGCTTCTCACGGGATTCTCGGAGCAGCCCAGATGGAGAACCAGTTGTCTAAATGAAAGGATCTGGGGGCAAGTAGTTAGGATTGAGCGCATCTGGGGATCCACTTAACCTGACTGGTTTTTGCCACCGAGGGGACTTTCTTCTGCTGGTCTCCTGACCCCACCTGAGGACAAGAATGAGAATAAGTCCCCCTGGCTCTCCTGAGAATCAAACCTAGGACTTCAGCCTCCTCAAAGCACTGACCCTACTCACAGTTTCCCAGGAGAGCATTGCAACACCGGGGTAGGTCAGGCAGCTGCCCAGGCGATGTGGCAACATCCTGGTTACCACATCAGGGAGACTGCCCTGTGCATGCGGCCGGGAGCCCAGCTCAGCAGCGGCGAAAATTCTGATGACCCTCCCTGATGGTCTCTGTACTGGTCAGCAGTCTTCAGAGCAAACAGCCACTTCACGTCCCAATACAGGCTTCACAAATCTGAAAAGATGATTTATGGGGCACCTGGGTGACCCCGTTGGTGAATCGTCTGCCTTCAGCTCAGGTCATAATCCCAGGGTCCTAGGATGGAGTCCCGCATCCGGCTCCTTGCTCAGCGGAGAGCCTGCTTCTCCCCCTGCCTGCTGTTCCCCCTGCCTGTGCTCTTGCTCTGACAAATAAATAAGTAAATAAAAATCTTAATAAAAAAATAAAAAGATGATTTACAAATACATATGAAATAAAATAAACCATGAGTCCTTTGTGCTAAAGGCACTGGGGTTCATCAAAGAGGGTCATTGTTCTTCAATTTTTCCTAAGTGATTATAAAAAATGTTATTGTAAAATGAGTGGCTTGAGATTCTCAGAGCAGCATCTTAGCCCCAGAAAGTGGCTGCCAAGCTGCTTCTACATTATTTAAAAAAAAAAAAAAAATCATTCATCTACTTTCTCTCAACCTGCCTCATGACATGGGTGCACTCGAAAGCTCACCGGAGAGGTCTGGACTGAAAAATTGGGGACTTGAGCTTGACGGTGGACAGGCTGAGACCTCCTTGGCCAGCCAGGGAAGTAGCACGGCGGAGGCGTGTCCAGCACAGAAACACAGGCGCGCTCTGTATTTTTCTAACAGCTTCTGAAGTGTTCATCAAGCCCGTGTCTGATTAAGCACTTTTAAATTCTGAGCAATGAAATGGGCCCTCTCATACCCTCTTGGCAGGAGTGCACATTGATCCAAACTTTTTGGAGAGCCATTCGGGCGTATGTACCAAAATTAAAAATGCATATAATCTTTGACGCAGAAATGCCACTTCTAAGAATTTTTCCTACAGAAATACCCCAAGTCCGTGGATGTAGATGTGGAAAGATGGTTCTTTACAGTTTATAACAGTGAAAAACAGCATGTAACTTAAAGTCCATCAGTGAGGAATTAGTTGGATCAACAACAGTTAATCAATAAAATGGAATGCTAGGCAGACATTAAAAAGAATGAAACAAAGCCATATATACCCCCAGAAGAGAGAGCCAAACACACAAGAATAATCTGCGGGAACGTAGAGGGTTTCCATTTTTATAAAGATTAAGGACGGCAACCACAGTTCACATCTCTGGTCAAGGGGTTCAGTTTCTAGGCTCCTAAATTAGACTAAAAACCCTAAATTCTAAGTGAAATAATTCGGGAGCCTTATTGATTGAACTCCTGAACTCACCGGCTGTTCTTTCTCTTCCCTAACATCAAAGGACAACCAAAAGCAATTCAAACACAATGGTAAGACTGCTCACCTAATTGTCACAGTAAATAAATAAGACTTTTGAAAAGCAACCCTCCCAGATGTAGAAAAACCATCTGTTGAGAAAGAGCCCAGAAGACTGGTTTTTGGCTGCAGAAGTCACTTGGCTAGGCCTACCTCCTCTTGTTTGTGTATTCAAATCCCATACATTGGAATGGTCTAACTTGAACTTGTATGTCCGGAGGCCCCTGTGACACAGCCCCTTAGCCCCCCAGCACCAGCCCGCAGAGGATACTTGCCTTAAGATCTAGGAAATCACTAAGGTTCTTAGAGCACCGAAGCCGCAGCCAGCAGAGCTCCCCAAATCCCAGAAGAGAGTTTTTAACTCTAGGCTTTTTCAAACATTGAAAGCCAGCTTTGATTCATGTTTACGCCCCAAACAGGCAGTTCCAGTGGGAATGTGTTCTAGAGCAGGTCCCACGAAACTTACTCCCTCTTAACTTTACGGAGACGGTTTTCAATGGATTAAAATAGATTCTGTGTTTGTGCCGGATTTTAGTACAGGTTGGTGATACCCCTCTGTCCCCCTTCTCAGAAACATCTCAAACATTCTAGCATCTTCTTGGTACCTTTCATCAATGCCACACATTCCCAAAGGTAACCACTATTACGGAGTTAGTGTTTATCCTATTCATGTATGTTTTAAATATTTACGATATATTTATATATCTATAAACATAATCTGGTCTTGTTCTGTAGGCTTTAAACTTTACATAAACACCAAACTCTATGTCTCCTTTGTGATTCACATCCCACCCACTCACACACTGTAGTTCATAACAATGGACCCTTGAGGAATACACTGGTTCCAGTCTACTCGCTTTAAATGCACACCTTCTATAGAATACTATATATATCGCAAATTACCTATTCTCCACTGGTGGACATTTTCCTCTTCAAACAAGAGCAGTGTTACAAGGAACGTTCTTACACACATCATTAAGTACCTTGCTTTTCTCTAAGCCTCGCTTCTCCTCTCTGTGGACTCAGCACAGGAGTGCCCAGCTGGTTGTACTTCCACACATGCAATCTCTAGGATCAGTTTAGCCAAGAGTCGCTAGTCTGCTCCTGGCCCTCGCTGGAGCTGTTGCCCAGGAGGACCCCACAGCGCCCTTGGCCTGTTGGGCACCTCTGATTTCTGCCCCTGGCCGCTGGCAGTGGGGCCGGTGCCCTGAGATTTGCTGGGAACATCTGAACCCACTTCCTACTGCTCCTTCCATATCTTACTCACCGATACAGACCTTCACACTCTATCTTTTTTGGTCACTAAATGATTTCAAGTTCCTGGTCAGGACTGAAATGCTGGCAAGAGAGTTAAAGGAGTGAGTGAATGAAGACTCTGTTAATCGGTGTCTTTCTTCTTCACACAGCAATTTTTCTAAAAGATGCAATTACATTTGAGAGCTGCAGAGAACAGAATCTTATGTTTTATTTCTTTATTCATCATTTTACAAATGGGATTCACTGTAAAAAGGAAATTGCCTTTGTGGTTCAGTTCTCCAGGCTGGGGTGCTCCGAGGTTCAATTTCTACACCAGCTGCCACAGCCACCTCGGAGCTGGGGGCAAGAACCAGCCAGGGAGGGAGGCTAAGAAATCAGGTAGCATTCCTTTAAATCCAATATATTTTTATTCTTTGTAAATACAATGAGTACAACCTTTTAACTTCACAAATCAGTTAATTCACTTTGTACAAGAAAAGTTTTACTCATCCTATGATAGTCCAAGTGCTGAATATTTTTCCTCAGTTGCTAGTACCTAAGAAATCAAAATGTGAAAAGTACAGCAGCTATTTTAAAATGGTTGTTTCTACATTTCCATAAGTATAGATTCATACCAAAGGAGCAGCTTATAGTGTAGGACGGTGTGTGTGTGTGTGTGTGTGTGTGTGTGTGTATGCGCACGTGTGCGTGTGCGTGTGCATGCGCGTGTTCAAGGCTTTACTAGAAACCGGTTTTCTGAAAGGCATTGAAGAGTCTCGGGCTGTTAGCCATGGATCAATCAAGAAACCATTTAGCCTTCATCTCCATGTGGTTCCTTCTGGCGTCATGTCTCTGTTCAGCTACTCTGCTGTGACTCGCTGAAACACGAGTTTGGACCCCCATCGCCTTTGGTTTCAGCACTTTGATAATGGGACAGCGATCTCCCTCCGCCTTCACCTCCGCTTTATTTGGTTTTGCTGTTTTTATCCATCCTCCGTCAACTTGCGTTCTTTTTAGTAAAGCTCTTCTATTTTTGAGATGTTATCCGAGCTCAAGTCCTGGTGCGAATCTCATTTTCGTCCACCAGTTCCTTGGACAAGGTTGCCTGGCCTATGGTATTGAAGAGAAGGAGGAGGAGAAGGAGGGGAAGAAGAAAGAGAAAAACAAAAGAGAGAGAAAGGAGAGAAAACAAGTTTCACGGCATAAGCTACCTTTCATTTACTAACTCAGTCCTGAAGGCCACTTCATGATGTAGTATGATAGAAGAAAAACTTTTGATAAAACTTTTGATTGAAAACCTAACCATTATTTTTAAAATAAATTCTCCAACGTAAAATAGTTCTGAAGGCTGCCGTATGATGTTATACACAGAGCTCTATTTGGTTACCCAACTTCATATGCTAAAAAAGAAAAGAAAGTTCTACGGACGGTTCAGCTTTTGAGAGTTCAGCCCTGTCTTCCAGGTAAGAGGCAGGATGGCACGGCCTGCAGCAACCCCCCGATCTGGCCCCCCTCCCAGGGCGCGGCAGCAAGGAGTTCTCTCGGCTCGGGTGGTCCTGTGACACCCCCTTTCCTTCCCTGCTGCCCTACCCTGGGGGAGGCAGCAGGTCAAAGCGACTGGAACTGTTTTGCGTCCATTGGCATGTTTTTCTGAAGGCTACACATTCCCAGGTTTATGCTTCCTGAAGGGTTTGTTAGTTGAGGCTTGTTCTCTGCGGGTAGAAGTTCATCAGACACTGTCCCATCCTGAAAAGCGGGGACTTGGAGCTTAGATATCACTGGATTTGTACATATCTGAAAGCAGTCTTGTAATGGGCACGTTGCCGATGGTTTTTTTGAAAAACACTTCTTCTATGGTTGATGGACTAATAGAACGTAAAGCTGGCAAAAGCAACAGGAGTTTTCCAAAGCGACAGGGCTGCGTGGGGTATCTGGAAGAGGAGAAGCCATGAAAGCAAGGTAAGAGCCATTCCTCACGGAAATTCATATCCCATACTTGAAGGCACACCCTCTTCCTGGCTGGGCCTCTGTACTACCCCACCCCCCTGCAGCGGAGGCCCCCACAGGTGCTCCTGGCCCTGCTCTGCCGGGTGAACAGCCGAGGCAAGAGCCTAAATGACGCGGCCCAAATCATGTGGTGACTGTCTCTACATCAGGCAAAAGGCTTGCGTTTTTTTGGATGAAAAGTAATTAAAAAAAATTATTTATTTGACAGACAGAGATTACAAGTAGGCAGAGAGACAGGCAGAGAGAGAGGAAGGGAAGCAGGCTCCCCGCTGAGCAGAGAGCCTGATGGGGGGCTCGATCCCAGGACTCTGGGATCATGACCTGAGCCGAACGCAGAGGCTTAACCCACTGAGTCACCCAGTGACTCAGTAAGAAAAAGTAATTTTTATTTTTAAAAAAGATTTTACTTATTTGCAAGAGAGGGAGGTGAGAGAGAGAGCACAAGCAGGGTGAGGGGCAGAGAGAGAAGCAGGCTTCCTGCTGAGCAGGAAGTCCGATTCGGGGCTCGATCCTGGGGCCCTGGGATCATGACCTGAACCAAAGGCAGATGCTTAACCTACTGAACTACCCAGGCGCCCCGGAAAAATAATTTTAAGAAACATGGCACCAAGTTCAGGTCAGATAATACACTGAAGTCTGCCAGGGCAGGAAATCACCATGCTGCTGAGGATAAAGGGTAGCGCTAACATCCACATTTTCTGATTCACAAGGCTCCTTCCTCAGGCTCGTTTCCTCAGATAAAATGGTTTCCTTTTCTAAGCCATTCTCCAAATTATTATTCAGGCATTACACTTAGTCACTCTCAGGAATAATTCTGTCCTTATTACACTGCAAATTAAAGACTAAGTTCTGTTGGGTGGTAGTGCCATCCAACTTTCATGTCAATGAAATTGGCATATAATTAAAGATGTGAGAAATTGCTTAACAATTTCCTCTCTTGATGTCCAACATACGTCTGTGCTCAGATGGGCAAGTTCAATTTTCCGCTGCCCTTAGATGCCTGTAACCTCACCGTGGCCCGGATGTTTCCTCCATTAATTGTTGGCAATCAGCTACTTATGTATTTCACAAGGAGGGCTCCTTCCTCCACAGCACACCACCCAGAAGACTGAGCTCCAGAGGCACCTGTCAGTAACCAAGCCAGGTTTAACCCCTTCCTGGCCACAGAGGGCTAGAAACTGATATCAAAATTCATTCATAGGAGCTAGGTAGCTGAACGCTGAGTTTAAGTGACCAGTAATGTCAGCCTGCAAATAGAATCCAGAGGAATCATGATCACTGTTGTCTCTTAGCTTTCAGCACCCGGAAATCCCTCTCTTCAACCTGATACTAGGCTGATAATTCTTCCTGGGCCTCTGAGGACCTCATTTGGCTGTTCGGCTGCCCAGCTTCATTATCACCCATGGACAAGGAATGGAATGGAATGGAACCCCCAGATCCACATCTCCCTTCTACCTGACTCTCTTCAACAGCTCTGCTTCCCCTCCTGGTGTCAGGCCAAGGAGCAAGAACACTACAGTGGGTGGGAGGCCATGGGATGCCTAGACAAGCCTCCGCCATGTCTGCAGCCCTCACCCAACATGCTGGGATTTTCCCATGGTGAGGAACCACTGTGGGAAGTAGTAACTTCCAGAAAGGATGGATTTTGGAGAATCCATAGACCATTAAATCTTGACCTTCTGCATGGAGATTATCCACTCACCTACTCACCCGCTTCTTTTATTTCCTAGTTAGGAAGGGGCTGGTTAGTCAGCAAGGATGAATTGTCTGTTATATGTGGAGACTTGTACTACCCAGAAACAGTAACAATGTGTGTGTGTGTGTGCGTGCACACGTGCGCGCGTGTGAGGCAGAGAGAGAATGCCTAACTACTCAATATTATTTTTTAGAATATCTGTGTCCCTGATTTCGTCCATTAGCATAAATAGCATAAATAACGGGAAGCTTTCTTTTCAGGCATAAGTGTTCCGTGTCTGTCACAGAGCCGTGTGTTTGATCTTCAGTTATAACATAGTTTGTGTGAAATGCCAATTCCTAGCCTTTTCCTTATGTCCTAGATAATTAGAGAAGTAGCCTACAGAGCTGAGTTTGCAATTTTTAACAATTAATGTATAATTAGCTCAGTTTGCAATACTGACTTTTCAATTTCAGATTTTATTTTTCTAGACAGGAAAGTGCTAGAGGAGAATATTCTCTGATTGAAGGAGCTAAGAAATGAGGCATATGCAGTTTCGCCCTATGTATGACTCTAGGTATTAATATTAATTACAGGGGCACCTGGGTGGCTCAGTCAGCAAAGCATCTGACTCTTGGTTTCAGCTCAGGTCATGATCTCAGATGGAGTATGGAGCCTGCTTGGGATTCTCTCTCTCTCCCCCTCCCCCTTCTCTAAAAAAAAAATTAATTATAGCTATAGCTCATATCATGAACTAAAAATTCCTTGTCAAAGCAAATGTGTTCCTTCAATGAATAATCTCCTTGTTTTGAGGCTGGGGAGAAGTAGTATATTTGCCATTTTGCTAAAGAAGACTTTTGTTAATTTGTGGTTGCACTCTCTCAGGGTCACCCTAGAAGAAATTTCTGGTGGGCCCTGCCCCCTCAGACTCCTCTTCCTGGACACTGGTACCTCCCACAGCACCTCTGCTGGCTCTCCTCGCAGCCCTTCTCCCCTGCTGAAGGCCTGCCATTCAAGGATCAGCTCACATGTTGTCTTCTTTCCCTCACCAACTGGAATTTGTCTTTCCCACTGCCCACTTTGCTTTTTCTCTCTTCTCTGGTCTGAACTGAATGCACACTTCTGTCTACTGCATGCAGGGATAAGTGGGAAGTGTCTTGCTCTTTCTGGTGTCCCACCATGCTCACCAGCCCTGCATGGAGCAAGTACTCAGCAAAGGCTTGACTGAATCAGTAAGTGGGTGTCACATTCTTGTCAGTGTGATGTTCTTTACACCTTAATGACTCTAAATGTCGGAGTCAGTTATGATATACAAGTTAGTTTGTAGTGGGCAAAAAGTGCCCAAATTACTAGCCCAAAGTACTGCTCTATTTTATAATTTTGAACAAAGATGAAGTATTTACCCTATATTCAGAAATTTAACATGTATTTATAATTTTTAAAAAACAGCACTTTAATTCGAAAGACATGTACCCAGGCACTATCACTCAACAGAGTTTCAGCGATATTCCATGGACAGGAACAGGTTTATTCGTTAGTTTTCAAAGGAGGATTTATGACAGAAATAAGCAGCTTCGTAGCAGAAGCTCTGTTCCCCCCCAGTGAATATAACTGTCTTGGGATTTCTCCCACCCCTAGATGAGGAAGGCACGAACGGCCGGGGCCACTCAATTTATGACTCCCAGCACTGTGTCTGTGGGTGATGTTGAGATGATGGAGAAGGTTTCCATGGGCTTCCTTTCAAGGTCAATCTAAGAAGAAACAATCATAAGCAACTCTATTCTATTCTATTCCTCAGATCTATTGCAATCCTAACTTACAAAGCTAGCAGTGTTCCACGACTCTTTAAAAGTCTTGCCTTTTTTCATTTGAAAATGAAATCAGAGTCTATACACCTCTGGGTGGACTCGTCCACTGGAGGGCCAGGAGGAGCACCGCTGGAGCCCCAGTGTCTGAGAGTTTCTACAACGAGCCAAGAACAGCCTCTGCCAATGGGCTCTGCTCGGCCAGAAGTAGCCGTGACTCAAAACAACTCAGTGGATACCAGTCACCAAAGCCAAACAACAGTCATGACAGGGTAACAGATGCCTCTCAAGGATGATGCGACCACTCGCTAATAGATTAGCTAACAGATCATAACTCTTTGGCCTTCATTTTTGACCCTTCCCCTATCAGTGTCCATTTACACAAACGTGTCCAAATGTTTTGATGGATCAACTTGTTCCGGGTCTGGCAATGCTTTCACTCTGATGATCTAATCTGACCGCCTCCTCTCACCCACGTGCGAGGTAAGTAAGTTTCTAACTATATTAGCGGGCGGGCAACAGGATAATTGGTCACAGGATTTGAACTGGCTGACTCGGGCCTGCTCACACATTCACAATGGAAGCGGTTTTCTGAAGTACGGGGTCAAGGCAAACAAGAGTCACCTGGTATGGATGTAGCTGTTGAGGGTTAGCTGGGCCTCATCTTGAAGGGCTGCAATGGCGGCAGCATTCCGGAAACTTCTCAGCTCAGAACCACTGTGTGTAGGAACTAGAAACAAAGATGGGAGAAGCTATGAGAAGCAGCACAGGAAATGCAGATGGGAAAGCACCTCCCTGGAAATGGATGACCAGCTGGAGAACAGGTAGGGCCCCCACCACGGAAAACGGGGCCAGTCCCAGGTATCGGCTCCCTTAAAAAACCATCCCCCCTTTGTGCAATGAGTCGAGACTCTGAGGTGGCTGAGTGAGGGAGGTGGCAAACCCACGGAAGGAGAAGAGGCGGGGGGTCTGCGTCAGCTTACCAGCTTTGAAAGTGACGATGCATTTCAGACAGGCAAATTCGGTAGCATCTAACCGGAGTTGTCTAAATCGAGCCACCACCTCCTGTAAAGCTTGTATTTCAGATATGATCTTGTTCAGCTTCTGGGAATCTGTGTTGTCACCGTTCATGCCTAGAATAGAAATATGGAATAAATGCTCTAATATGAAGGCATTTTCACGATTTAATATTGATTTTTGACAGAATTCTGCATATCAATATCTATTCAATTGTCACTCTAAGATATCTGATTCCATGTAAACCGGCTATATTGTATGAAAGTTAATATAAAATCTTCTCTTGGATGATAACAAACACAGTAATTTGCATTTAAATAACAATGCAAGCAGTCATGAATACAACAAAACAACATTATTTGCATTTAAATATAGATTTATAAATGACAGGTATACTCTATTGTTCAGCAGGAATTTGTTATTCTTTACATGTTGTTCTTTTTTCAGTAATGTATTTTTATGGTAATTTCTACAACAAAGTCATTAAATTGTGCAATTCTTACCAGATACAGCCAGTAGAGTGTTAGCATCAACCGGAATGGCCCATTGTGCTATTCCTAGAACAAACAGTTCTCTCCAAGCATCTTCCAAAAGCATCAGCTGTCATACAATAGATGTATAATATAATATAGTGTGTAATTTATAAATTTATAAACAATTTCAATATGTAAATTTCCATTATTTTAAAAAGTGTTTTAAATGCCTGTCTTGGTAAATTTTCCTCTGAATATTCCAGCTTTTCCTTTATTTTCCACATTTTTCCTTTTTGAAAAGGTGCCTATACATAAGCACAGGCATCTGAGAGTCAGCCATTCCAATTCCCCAAACTTTGCTTCCTTTGGAAAAGGGTTTACCCTTCTTGGCCTTGCATCTATTCATTCCCGACCACCTAGAAACTTCTCCAGAGAACCAGGCTCTATGAAATGCCACCAGCAGCTCAGCAGGCAGATCCCCTTCATATAAAATGCTGATATTATGGGTTGAGGATTACAGACTAAGCGTGCAGATCTGGGCCCCCATCTTCCTAGAGGGTTGGGGGGCTGGGCTGGGAGAGAGAGAGAGAGAAAGAGAGATCACTAATTCCCAAGAGGCATGCAGGGAAATCAGGGTGTAATTATGTTAATAGGGTTTTGCTGAGTTTACCTCATCTCACTGCCTGATTTTTCTGAGACTCATAAGTGGACAGCATCAAGGTGCTTGTCATTTTCACTCTAATAAAATGTGCTACTGAATATTTAAAATGAAAATCTGACTCCTTTTCCAAATTAATAGACCGGATTCCACTTCATTGTAGTTTGCTTGTTGTTGAAGGGTTTCCACTGAAGGGCTAAGTGGCAGACAGTAAGTAAATTTTGTTTCTATTAATGAGTATACAAATACCTGTTTTCAGAGAAAGCAGCCAGTACACATACGTGTGGGCGCGCGCACACACACACACACACAACAAATGGTTAGAGTCAACCCGCAACTCTGGTCAAAGATACAACCTAACTATTTTGGGAAAAAAATCTGTTTTGAAAAATCTCTCAAAAATCAGTCAGTTCTGGATGATTTATGTGAAAGTATTTCCTTTTGGGAGCTAAGAGCTGAATTGTGAAGGCCTGTTACCAAAATCACAATCAGACCAAAAAGGTTTAATTTTGAAAATGCTTTATTTTTAGTTTTATTGCATTAGGTACAGAAAATAATACTTTAAAATGCAAGGTAAACAATATCTAATTCTCACCATGTCTGAAAGTCCAGGCTATGGAAAAAAGAACATCCCATGCTAGAAGATTAAATGTTTTGAGCACATTGCTAGGTCTCTCCGTAGGAAACATACTTCATATTAAAGGGCACCATTATGCTTTAATTAGGTATAAAATGAATTAAAGAAATAAGCCACTTGCTTTCAAAACTACTTATTAGCCTTTTGAGAAATTTTCATTAATTTCCATGAATGTACTGGTAACGTCTAATGCTTATGAACACTTCATTTTCTTTCTTTCCCTTAAGATTAGAAAAATTCTGGCAGACGCTATCTCTGCGATTTCTAACAACAAAATTTCCGGCTTTTGGTAAGATGTAATTTTTAGCAGCATATACTTTTCTCTCGGTCATTTACAACCACAGAATTATGCACAATGCCCATTTGTTTACAAAATCTCATAAAGGTCTTCAAGAAGCAAAGAAGATCCTGGCCTGTGGGAGGTCTGCAAGGCAGCCCATACCCATACATGCTCATCAATTAGTGGTCAAGAACATGAGTACCGCAGTGGAAAATATAAAGCTGTGAACATAAAACAATGAGACTAGCTCTGAAAATCTTACAGGCGAATACTATCAACACTTACTTCTGCTAGGTCCAATATTCTTAAGAAACACTGTTTTATTAGCAATTTTACTGTCATTACGAGTTTTTAAATTTGTGATTAAATTTGGTGTTTCAATTAAACTTGAAAAAAAGAGAGCTAATGTTTTTGTCTGTTTGTTTTTCATAGACCAGATCCAACTTTCCTGAAATAACATAATTATGTCTCTTAGTAAGGATTCCATAGCTAGATATTTTGAACCCATCGTAGGAAGCTGATAAAAATCGTTTCCTCTTTGCCATTAAGAACAGATGCCTGGCCTTTGTGAGTTATCCAGGTAACCTCCAGGTTCATGAGGCTGACCACTGTTGGTTTTTTGGTTTTGTTTTGGTTTTGCTTTTCCCCCAGTCCCCTTCCCCAAGAGCTCAGTGCCCTCCTGGTCATACCTGGTCCTGCAAAGATAGCGTGGAGAAAGCTGGTACACTCTTAGCCCACTTGATGCTCATGAACAGAAGCCTGGCGGCTGATTCACACACGGACTCCGTGGCCACTTCGTACAGATACATCGGGGTCCCATTCACTTCGTGGGGATACTGAGGGGGAAGAAAGAGAAACACCACGGAGTGAGGAAACCACAGCTTTGCAAGAATAGCCAACCTTTTAATTTCCTAATTAGACTGGGGAAGGAGATAGGCATTTGGATGTTCTGCTTAAACACGCAGTTGCCATGGGTAGACAAAAAAACATCTATATCTATAGAATTTGAGAAATAATAACCATTGGGAAAGGCCCATTTCCAGTCTCTGGGGGCCTGTTCTTCCAAAGGGGCATCTGGCTTTTCTATCCCCTGCAGCAAATTTTCCTCCAACTGAGCCAAGTGCCAGGCCTGTCTCCCAATTTAGACAAGAGCTGCTTGCATTTGTGTAAATAAAAATAGATGTGAAAAAAGTATAAATTAATAGGCATCCCAAACACAAATATGCATATGAGTATTTTTAGAAAGGATTAGTATATTATGGAAATATTTCAATTAGACATCTTAATCATTCACAGAGCTTCCCCATTCATAACTGACAACATATTCATAACACTACTTTCCCAAGCTTATTATACACATCAAGGGTAAGAAAGCAATATTAAATATTGTGCTTGTGCGTGTGCCCAGGTGTTTGGCTTCCCTGCAGTTTGGGGCTGCAGCTGGCCCTCCCCTTTGCTGCCTGGAGTGGGTGCTTTGGGTAGGTACCAGCTGGAAGCCTGGAAGGTAGTCCCTAGGTGGCAGCCTTTTGAAGTGTTCAGGCTGTGGCCCTTCTCAACAGAGACTCAATCCGCGTAGAAATACATGCATCTCAGAAGGGAGAGCGGAAGACGGAAGACGAAGCCAGCTTCCTCAAACCGTCCTAACAGGGTGCGCTGCCCTTGTTGTTGCTGCATTAGGGACCCTACAGCTTTGCCCCAGAAAAACAGATCCCTGCGATCTGCTACACGGGGACTCTTCTCTGCCAGCTGCAGCCAACTCCTTTTCCCTAAAAACAGAAGTGCTCTTCTGGCCTCCAGAAATACCTAGGTTGCCCCTCGGCTCAGCCAGGACTCCACCCCACGGCATTTTTTTTTTTTTTTTTTAAGGGGCAAATTCCTGGGCCCCACCTCGAACTTGTTGGAAGGGACTCTCTGGGAAATGGGGCAGGGAGTTCACGTGTGTAGCCAGTTCACCAAAATTTGGACACTCCTGGCTTAGGCGGGGAGAGCGGGGGGCCGACAGCTCCCCGCAGAGCCCGACCCAGGACCACGCGAGGTCGCTCAGTCTTTGGCTCCACCCATCCTAGCGCCGAAGACCTGGGCGCCCCGCCCCCGCCCTCAGCTCGCCACGGGGCTCCTTTGGGCCCAGCGAGGACACGGACCTTGGGCGTGGGCTGAGCCAGGCTCACGAGAGTCTGCCGCTCCGGGGTGGCGGACACCGCGGCCAGCTCCAAGCCGTGGGGTTCGAGCTGCGTGACTGCGGTGAAGAACGCGGGCGCGGGCAGCGCCGCCGAGGGGAAGTGCGCAGCCGCCCCGTTCTCCTCCTTGTGTCCGCGGAAGTAGAGGGCCACCTGCTTGCGAATGGTGGACGTCCGAGGCCCCCGCTCGTGCTGCACGGCTGCAGAGACAGACAGATGGGCGAACGCCCAGGATCAGAGACTCGACCACACTTAGCCGCTGCCGGGCTCCGGGGCCAAACGCCACGCCTGGGCAGGCAGGGTCACTCGAGAGGTGAAGAGAGGGAGGGACAGGGAATGTGCGGGCGGAGGACGCTCCGAGGTCGTCTGTCTCTTACACTGCAGGCACGCGAGAGCCCAGGCTGAGGGGAGAAGCCGGACCCCAAGTGTCACGATAATGGCCAAACCTCCAGCAAGACTAGGCGTGTTCTCTTGTCCGTTCAGGGCTCTGCCCCACCCAGAGGAGGTCGCAGAGAAACCAGAGACCCTGGGGGTGGGGAAGCGACAAAGGGGAGAAGGAGCCCTGTGCCCAGCCAGGCACTGCCGTCCCTGCACAAGCATTTCCCGGTCAGCCCAATGGTGACTCCCCCCACCTCCACCCCCCGGGGAAGTGGCGTTTGGCCTCCTAGGGCCTCAGGAGCAAAGGACCCGAGGGAGAGCCCGTCTTGGAAGTGTGCTGGAGGAAGGCAAGGGAGATGTGACAATTACCGCCAACAGTTTAAACAAACAAATTAATTCAGGGCAATCTTCCGCTCGCAGAGCTTGACAACTTGTCAATACACGAGTTCAACAGGTTGGACGTTCCCTCCTGCTTCCTGCGCTTCTGAGGAAGGAGCTCTCCCCAGTGGGCTCTGTGCCTCCTGGAGCTGCCACCGGGCCCGGACTGTCGCCAAGGCAAATTCTCTCAGCATCCCTATCCTGACGCCCCATTCCTCCCTCCCGGCCATGACCCAGGCCCCAGGCCCGGGTAGGCCTGGGGCGCCCTCGCCAGGCCACCACCGGGCTCGCACTGGGCCTGCGCTCTCCGGGGGAAATATCTCATGCTCTAGCTCTTGTTGCGCACCTTTAAGATCCTTCTGAAAGTCGGCTGTGCGAGGCACCCACAGGAGTCTCCCTGCCTCTCCAGCCCCTTTTTGTAGAACGGAGAGAAAAAGCCCAGATCGCCACAATGGCTGTCCTGGTTTTGGAGTCTTGATGAATTAACAAACACCGGCCTGAAATTCCGTGAGCTTGTGTCTCTGCCCTCCCTCCTCCCAACAGTTCCCTAGTCCCTACGGTCTCCAACCTCGGAGACCATCCAGACTTCGAGATCCTGCGGAAGGTTAACAGGCTTAGGGCTGCAAGGAGAGGTGAGAGGAGGCATTAGGATCCAGGAAATCCTCAGGAGTGTCCCGCAGAGTGAGTTCCCCCAGAGTGCTGTCTTCATGGGGGTGGGGTGGTTGTGGGGTGCATATGGGCCATACCTCTAGAGTTCAATGGGATGGGGGTAGGGGCTCATTCAGAGAAACAGATAAGACTGAAAGTCGGAGGCCAATTCCCAGCATCTGGACAGAAGTGCTCTAGAGATGATTTACATGCATTGGAGTGCCATGTATTTTCTGTACATATAATTTACTTACTAGTCAACCAACATTAGAGAAATAAAAAGCTCTACTGATTACCATCTTTGTTCATGTTGACTTCCAAACACTTCTTCAGCCGACACGCCCTGCACTGGTTTCTGTGCGTCTTGTCCACTGGGCAGCCTCCCTGGAACAGAGCACAGGCGGTCAGCGGCCCCCAGGGCCTTTAGACGGGAGATGAGAATGCGGGTTTGGGGGAAACGTGGAGGCGGGAATGGACCCTGCCGCCAATCTGGGAGCTGCAAGCCTGGGGCCCCAAAACTCGAAGGCCTTGGACACGAACAGGGCTAGGTAGGGAGAGGGCCGGGATTTCTGGGGCTACTTCAAAAGGAGCAGCCCCCAACCTTGTGAAAGTGGACAAGGAGGAAGAGTCCTTCCCCGAGCAGGCGAAGGGTCAAAGAGCCTGGTTTGCCTGACTTTGCAGCGTTGGGAGGACAAGCTCCAGAGAGGGGCTTCCGCCCGGCTCAGAGATGGTGGAACAGGGCCGAGACGTTTCAGGACCGAAGACAGCGACCGGACCAGAGGAGGAGGCTGATCAGCCAGGATCCCTACCACACCCCCCTCCTGCGAACTATTCTTTCCACCTTCAGGTTTCCAGTCTACCTCTTTCTGTCACTCTGGGGCGGGGGGACATTTATTTGTCGGATACATATTTTCCATTTAGTCTTCACTCTCCTGTTTCCTCACTCTTAGCTTTGTACTTGAAGCCATCCTTCTAACCAGCATGTTAACGTTGTCTTAAAGACTGGGCTCAGCCCAGATTGACGGAAACACAGCCATTCCTAGAAGGTGAGGCAGAAGCCAAAGTGGTTAGCAGGGCAAGGCCTCCAGAGGTGAGGATGAGAAGGGAAGAGCCCAAGGCCTGGGCAAAACCTTGAAGTGTTCACTATGTAAATATGACCAAGAAGATAATGTCATGGACTGTCTGACAAAATGATAATATGGACTGAGAATATTAGCATGATACCTGGGGGAGGGGGGTTGTGCGGAGAGCTAATTACTGCCTTAGAAATATTTATTTGAGAAGCACGAGAAAAAATGTTTTACCTAATGCAATTTTCTGGAAAAGATATTGGCTATTGCAAGAGGAAATTTACAGAGAAAGTTTCTTATGGAATTCATTCACTGTTAAGTGTTATTACTGAGGGAACATATACACATAGATACATAAAGAGTCATATCTACACATACACTTTACACACCAAAAATATATAAGTTTGGTGCTCTCCTGTATTTATATGACTTGCAACTGTTACAAGTACCGTGGGAATAAAGAGAATAAAATAAATGTATTTTTATTTTCCTTCATAATCTAAAAAACTCATATAGTGCGAATTGTGGGTAGGCACATTTTCTGAAATAGCCCTTAAGAAAAAATGACACACTTGAATACACTTTTTTTAAAATGAGATCCCACCCTTCTGATTTAAAATATGCTGAGGTGTTTAAAATAAAGACAGCGCAGAGGTTTGTGACAATTTCTATATGTCCTCATTACTGTTAATAACAAATTGGAACATTATTTATCTAATCTTAGAATACAAGAGATAAAGGAAGTAATTTTTGCTTTCCAAATGAATTCTTCAGGACATCTTTGCTGGCCAGTGTGATAGCTCGATGTAAAGAGGGTTAAAGAACTTGTTATTAATTGCAATCGCATGTCTATCGTCAAATGTTATCTTCCTAGTATTCTGACAAACAAGCTAATGCAAAATGGAAGCCTTCACTTGTTCTTACGAGCGTCTTCAAATCAGATCAAATGTGTATAAATATCTGAAGCTTGAGAGAAAGATGAGTGCTTGAGCTCAGCCCATTTATTCTCTCGGCAAGGAGAGGACACCAAGCCTGATGAGTCTATTATCAGTCCTTTACAAGGACTTGGACTGACATCAATATGTTCGAATTGATAGCCAACCCCTTTGAAAATATCAAGCATTAACATCTGAGATTTTGATTTCCTAATTCTGTGCATTGCATAAAATTAAAAGGTGATTTAAGTAGAAGCCTGCTCAAATCTGGTAACCCACAGTAATACCCCATTCCTGTGGGGCTATAGGGATACAGTCCTGCCTGAGTATAATGTGATGTGTCCATATGGTGAGCCAGAGCTGTGTGCCCAATTAAACGGGTACCAGGGTTGGAGTTCAAAATAACTTATCCAAATGTAAGTATCTTCTTGTTCTTGTTGATAATCCAAATCTATGGGAAATTGACATGAGCAGACATAGCTTTAGAAAAAGAATAATTCGCTAGCTCCAGACAATATGTGTGTGTATGTGTATACCATAAATATTAATTAGTGGAGGTGCTTTACCATTTTGGTTACCAAAGGATGACTTCTGACTAATACGCTCTCCCGGGGTCTTCTTGGGAGTCAAGGTGTTGGCTCTGTGCTGACGGTCTGCGTGAGTGGCTGAGGAGAAGGCAGTGTGGGACCAAAAGGCTGATCTCCCTCAAATGGGCCTATTACTGAGCTGGAAACTGAGTCAGGGGGTCCTACTTGTTCTCTCTGGAAGCTCTGCCTCACTCTCAGCCCATGCTCTAACTCCCTTGTCTTTTCCAGGCAGTTCTGCCAGCTCCATACCAAGACACAACCAACCAGGCCCTTCTTCTAAGCAGCAAAAGAGAAGAAGATATGAGAGCCTTGGGGAGGATTCCAGCTACCCTTTCCTTGAGAACCTTCTCTTCTTGCTCACTCTGCCCTTTCCTGACAAGGCAGAACTAAAGTCTCATGGAGGCTGCAGTCCCCCTTGCTCCCTTCCAGAGCGGTCCTGCTTCTCCCAAGTTGAAAGGACAAAGCCCTTCCCGCAGCAAGTCCTGTGTTCCAGGTGGCCACACTCCTCTCAGGTGTGCCTGGGATGCATGCCTTGTGCCTTTTACTTCCACCATGGCAGGCAGTGGTCAGGGCACTGAGCTTGGGCTGCTGCTTGGGGGCAGAGGTGGGGTAGGGTACAGGCAACATAGCACAGCCTTTTCTCCAGCTTGCAACGTGTGGTTTGGATTCTAAAGTTCCTTAGGTTCCCTGGGCTGGATTTAAAGCCACTGGGTGTGGGTCCTACCCAGTGTCAAAGTGTGTGAGAGGATTACAAAAAGCGGGGTGGGTATGTGTGCGCAGGGAGGAGCCCGGATTTCAGATGTGCCCCTGCAAACTCTGGTATCTGCCCTTACCTCTTCCCGCCTTTCCCACGAGGAAGGGCCTCTGAGAGCTGAGGCGGGAAGGAGGGGAGAGGAAGGGAGAGGTCAGGGCTCGGTCTCTCCTCAGCAGCTTGGAAACCCGGAGGAGGCCTTGGCACAAACAAAAGAGGGGGAGGCAGCCGAGGGGAGCCGGGCAGTGCAGCCCTGGCCGAGGTACCTGGTTTCCAGATTTGCAGACATACGTCCTATTCCGCCGGATACTCCGTTTGAAAAACCCCGAGCAGCCGTCGCAGGCGTAGACCCCGTAGTGTTTCCCCGAGCTGCGGTCGCCACACACTTTACAGGGGATATCTAAAATACGGCCTGAGATCGCAGGAAAGACAGGGAAGGGGGAAGGGACGAGAGGGAGAGGAGGGCGGAGAAGAGGGAGGCAAGGGGAGCCGGAGAGAGAGATGCTAAGCAATCTGACCTCTGAAGGGATTAGCACCGAAGCTGCGGTAAAAGCAAATAATGAAGTGATTTTATAGCCAAACTTTTTTTCCTTGAGCAAGTGTCAGTTTCCTACAATGAGCATTATTCATGCACCGCTACATGTATTTGGGTCTCTTCTAATCGCTGAGACCCATTTTGGAATAAAAGATTACAGCAGGCCCGGGCGGCAGCACGGCCCGCCGCTGCCTTTCTGCTCCGCGGAAAGTTTGGCCGCCTCCCTCCCCCGCTCTCGCATTTAACAGAGAAAGTTGTTAGCGCGCGAGGAGACAAACTTGAAATGTAAAAGGGGAAAGAAGAAAAACAAACACGGCTGGAACCGGGGATGGCAGCTGGAAGGCAATCGAGTTTTCTCTGAGCTGCCGGGCGGTTGTTATTATTAGGATTATTATTGTAATGCTAATACTAGGATTATTAATGATAATAAGGGTAGTGGTAATTGCCCAACTTTCGCTTTACCTATTTTAAAAAATGCTTAGTGGATCGCTTTTGAGAAATTATTTCTTTTAGGAAAAAAAAAACATTTTCCCCCCAAAGTAACTAGCACCGGGCTGGGCAAATGAGGGAGTGGCGCGTGCGCGGTTCCTTCCCAGGTTAGCGCGGGACAGCCACCCCTTCTCCCTCCGCTCCCCAAGTTCTTGCGCAGAGACCTACCTCCTCACACTGGATCCCGGGTGGGGCCCTTCCTGCCTGTTTTTCCTCCGCCGTGGAAGGGTGATGTTTTAAAGGACCTAGCTGGTTTCTCTAGACTGCCCGTGTCCACCCCTGGTGGCCTCGACGGTCGCCTGGCTTAAGAGAACTTCTCTTGGAATCCCCTCAAGCCCGGGGCGCCTACGGACGGACCTTGGAGGAACGTTCGGGAGAGGTGGTATTCCAACATTCTGGGGGAGGGAACTCTTTTGCTCTTAAGGTTCAAGAGTCCAGCCAGCCCGAAGCCATTCATAGGGGCTTAGAAATCTTTATTCTTGCAAACAAAGTATTAAAGTACCAACACTTTGATAATAGTAATGACGGTGGTAATAATTAACTTATTTACATTGAATTTTCCCGTCGCTACTCCACCCAAGGCCTCCAGTCTGGGCCCGAGAGGCCTCCACGGTGAACCTGGACAGTTGCTGTCCGGAGCACTCAGGTTGGGGAACGCTACCAGGCTGGGGTGCAGGGCGGCGAGTCAGACCACCGGGCCAGGGTAATAGAGGAAGAGAGGGTGCCACGTGGGGAGGGGCCCGAGGTCTCAGAAGTGGAAACTTGCTCGTGGATTCCGAGGCGTCCTGGCGGGTGGGGATCCCTCCCTGAGCAAGGCCTTGGAGGAGCTGCCGGGGGCCGGGAAGGAGGGGGGCATGGAGAGCCCAGCGGCCAGGGTGGGGGTGGGGGTTCGATAACGACCAAGCTCGGCCAGGGTAATTACAACCCCGCCATAGCACCTGCCTATAGAGCCACCAGTGACCCGTCAAAAAGAGTAGCATGGGAATTCAGACGGCGACAAAGGCCGGTGGGGGAGGCGCGCAGCGGAGCGACCACCGCCTTGGAGCCCCCTTTCCCGTAGGGTGGGAGGAGAGGCTGTGCTTGGTGGGGGGGGGGGAGGAAGCGGCTGGGGAGAGCCAGGCAAAGCCACAGCGGGGCTTGTCCCTCACCCCCTTGGGCCTGTCACCGTGCCCATGGGAACTCACAGGCGCCCAGCAGCCGGTGATGCGAGCTCTGCGGCGTCGCACTCCCACTGGAAACAGCAAACTTGGTTTCCTTATTTTGCAACCATCCTTCCCAGCATGACACGCACCCTCTGGCTGATCTGGGGTCCATGTTTGGGATTCAGCAGTCCTGTCGCCCCAGCTGTCCTCTTCCCGGTGGCACTTTGGATGATGCCAAGATGAGAGCGCAGGAGCAGCAGTGGTGGTATTTCTCCCCCTCTTCCGCACCCCCCCTTCCCATCCAGACAGGAGCACGGGGACACACCACATCTCTGGAGAACCCCATGGGGCGCAGGGAGGACCGGTGCGGGGCGGGTGACCCCTCTCCAGCTGGGGGCCGGGGTCAGGGCTCCTCGACAGTTGCCCGGCAGGGCCACCACCGCTGCGGGTGGGTCCTGCCTCGGCGCAGACCTCTGGGCCTCGGCTCCCGGGGCAGATTAGAGGCAGGCCGACGGGCCCGGGGCGGGGCCCAGGAGGGAGAGACGCGAAAATTCCGGGGCAGAGCGGGTCTGAGCCTCAGACTCCGCCACCCAGCCATGTTAAGGTGACTTGGGGTCACGAGACAAGCTGGTTGACCCCGTTGCAAAGCTCCTCTCATTTAGCAAACCGAGCGAGCTCCGACGTGAGGCAGGCGGGAGTTTCCTGAGGCTGGAAAACCGTTCTTAACTTCCCTCGCCAGGGGGTCCCCTCGGGGCTTTTTGTGTGTCATAATTGCCTAAAGATATATGGCAGCTTCGATTACTGTAATTACCATCAGAGGCTGTTGAAAGAAGTTAGTCTGGGCTGCAGGGGTGACTGGCCGGGGTCTTGTTACCACCCAGGCGGGGCTCCCGGGTGACATCGCTCTGCCCTCCAGCTGTGCGAAACCGAGCGAGGCGGGGGCTGCAGACCTCGCGGCCCGGCTCGGTCCTGACCTCGCCCGCTGCGCGCCGACCTCCTCGCCGCCCCGGGCCCGAAGGCCTCAGTTTTCGGGCCCGGCTGCCGCCACCTGTCTGGAGAAGGCCGGGATGCAGCGGCGCCGCGGGCGGGGGCAACCTTCCTGCTGGCCTGACGAACTGCCACTTTGGCGGCCGAAACCTCCACCAGGTCTCAGGCTTCCGAGGCCGAACTCAGGCTCTTGGGGAGTTGGGGAGCTCCCAAGTTTCCCCAGCATGTCATCCAGCCTTTTCTTCCTGAGTGCGGACGGCTCGCCTGAGTCCCGGTCCACCGCACGCGGGTGCAGCCCCCAGCCAACCGAGCTACTCGCCGGGCCCTTCCCTTTCTTCCGAGGCCTCATTTTTTCAAGTATCCCCAACACACAGCAACCCCGGGGCCTCCGCACCCCAAGTGGGCGAAGGACTCCGAGGCTCCTTACTTCTAGGGAGGGAGGAGAGGGCCTGTCACGGGGAGGTAGCAAGGAGGCCTGCGGAGGGCCGCGGGCTCTGGTTTCTGCAACTGGGGCTCAGAATGCAGCAGGAAAGGTTTCCTTCTGCACCTCTTGGGAAGGACCTCACACGCCAGAGCACGGACTGCAAAAAGCGAGACCACCTCGCTTCCCAGAGACTAGGGCAGCAAGGGCCAGCGTAGGCCCGAGGCTATCTGGAATGCCAGGCCTCCTCAAGGGGTGGCTCCGATTTGGGCGGCCGCAAAGTTTCCTTCTCTCTTCCCTCTGCCCTACTTTCAACATTCTCCTTTTCTCTTTTTGGTTCACATTCACTTTACTTGAATTTAAAAAATGGTAACACCCAAACCAGAGCAAACGTTTAAAGTGAATTACTTCCCACTTACGTGGGACTTCAGCATCAGTGCTCAGAAGTATCTTGGATTCTCCCAACTTTCAAAGACTCAGGACAATGAGGGCGAGTGGGGGGTGGTGTTTGAGGAAAGCACGGAGTGCCCAAAATGCTATGGGAAAAGGCAACAAGGGCGGTTAGAGAACTCCGGGGCCGTGGGGACTGTGACAGGAGCCACCCCCAGCCGTGGGCCCCGGAAAAGGCAGCCCCCGGCCACCGGAAGGCGGGAACTGAAATGCCCCCGGGGAGATCCAAGCCTTGTGGCAATGCCCGCCCAACGCCAGCTCGGGCCTCCACATTCTCCGGTTCCGCGGGCACTGGGCCGGCAGATGCCCTCGCGCGCCCACTTAACCCCGCACTCCGGCGTCTAGGGGCAGTTAGAGATCAGCCGGGGCTCGGCATCCTCAAGGGGAGCCACCAGCTAGGCAAGTTTGAGGAAGGAGAGAAGCGCGCGAAGGGAACAGGCCGCACACTCCTGCCTCTGCCGAGCTCCCGCTCGAAAAATCCTTGGGATTAGGGATTTGGTCCCCTCTTTGCTAGAGCGGTTCGCCATACTTTAAATTCCCCAGTTATGACCTACGCGGATTTAGGATTAAGGAAAATGTGACTTTTAAGTTGTTTCTGCTTCCCAGTTTGCAGGATTATTTGAAATAGCTAGAAACGGGGTGCAAAGCATTCCATTCAAATCCGCTTTGCGCAGAGTTGCTTTTGCGCGCTGGAGCTCGGAGTTTTGAGCGAGCGTGTTATTGTGCTGCCGCCTGGAGCTGCGGCCTAGTTCCCGCCCCCGTCGCCCCCCATTTCCCCGCACCTGGCGGCCAAGCGGAGACAACTCGCGCGACTGGTGGGCTGCTTGGGTCTCAACCTTCCTACCCTACCAGGGCGGGGGTGGGGAGGTGGCAGGGGGAATCCGACAATCCAGAGGTAACGAAATTCTTCTTCCCTCACCACGAAACATCCCGACTCACGGTCTACAAGGAGCTGGGCCAAAGCGCACACGCCGCCGGAGTCCCTTTCCCGGGCTCGGAGCTGCAGCGCTCGGAGCAGGACCTCCCCGGCCTCCCCTCCCGCCCACCCCAGTCTGCGCTCCTGAGCCCCGCGGCGGCCCCAAAGGTACCCACTTGTTGATCCGGCCGGCTTGCTCATGCTGGCTGTCCCCGGGCGGAGCGGTTGGTGGGCGCTGCCCGAGTCCCGGCCGACAGCGCCCGCCTCACCGCCGGGCGCCGCCGCTCTCCAGCCGCCCTCCAGCCTGCAGGCTCCCGGGCCGGACAGGTGGGTGTCGGTTGCGCGCTGCGCTGCTCCCTGGGTGCTCAGAATTCGTTCCACGGTGGGAATTTAAGCATCCTCAAGTTTCTTCCCGGCTCTTGCAAAACCGCAGCTGCTGGGAATGTTGCTTGGTAGGGACACGCGCATGGACAGACAAACGGAGAGACGGACAGGCAGATCGAGGAAGATGGGAGGAGGACAGCAAGAGAGGAATAGTGAAGGACAGAGATGGAGACACGAAAACGGTCTTCCTACGGAGCAAAAAGGAGAAAATCCCTCTCTTTCCCCATTCCTGTCTCTCAGTCTTCAATTTATCCTTCTACATTAGGCATGCGGAGTGTGGCCAGATCTCTACAGAGCGCTGCTCTTTTAAGGAAAGAAGGAAAACACAACCGCGGTCTCAGGCAGATGGGCTCCGCGCTGCCCAAACCCGAGAGCGGAGTGGGAAACTAGATTGCTGGGAAGTCTTCCGAGGAAACAGGGGGCCAGGTCCCGGTTTCCGGGGACAGCCGCGCACAGAACAGCAAAGGGTCCCCGAAGTTCATTACCCCGTGACTTTGTGCTTGTCGCTGCGGGCTGGGTCCCCTGTAATATCTCCAGAAGCGCTCTGACAGGCAGCCGCGGGGAGGGGAATAGGGCGTCCCTGGCCCACTTAGCTTTTCCCCCAACTCCTGGCGGGGTCTGACGTCAGCCATGTGCGGGGAGGGGATGGGAAGAGGGAGGGGGTTAAATGCTAATGATATTAATGAACCTCCAAGCGGCTCCCAAAGAAAATGCAGGCGCTGTCGGAGCTGACGAGTTAGAGTATGATATATGGGAGTGTGGCTCTGTGCGTGCGTGCTGGTGAGGACCGTGCTGCTCTTGTAATAAAAATGAATTATTATATTTCATGGCAAGAGGGAAGGGGAGGGGAGATGGAGCATTCTCAAAACGCTTTCTCCCTTTTCTCCAGAGCGCCAGACAGATTCGTGGAAGAAACTGGGTGGCTGTGTGTTTGTGTGTGATTGCGCGCACCGGATATGGCCATGTGAGTTGGTTCATTCTTGGTCCCGTGCCCCTTCTGTTGGGTAAAACTTGGATCTGGTCCGAGGTGAGTAATCATTCATTTTGCAACTATCTACGGAAAGTTGTAGCTCAGGACGCTGTGTGCGGACTTGGGGCCTGGGATGGGGTCTGCTGGAGGCTCCGTTCCTGTGGCCTTCGCGGAGTCGGCTTGGGCACCAGCTGCGGGGAGGGTGCCGCCCGCTCCCCAAAGCAAAGCCCATCTGGAGCAGAGCGAAGTCCCTGTCGCCTCCATTATCTGCACTGGAGCGACTGGAAGGCAGAACTTTCCTTTTTGTAGCTCATCCCCAGAGGGCTTCGCTGGCTCCCCCTCTCTAGGAAGCGTCCGGGAATCTGCAGAGCTTTCTCCGCCTTAGGCCCCCACTGCTCCCTCCAGCCTTCCCTCGATTCCTGTGCTCTCTCGCGCCCCGGTCCCTGCGCCGCGGTGGGAGAGCGCACGCCGAGGGAGCGGTGATCCCCGATCTCTAAGAGATTAAATCTTATTTAAGCTCTCCCAGCAGCTTGAACTTGTCGAACAAGAGCTTGCCAGCCTGTCCTCCGGGCGTGGGCCGACTAGAGGTCAGGGGTCACACCTCCTGCTCTCCTGCCCTCCGCAGCGCGTTTGGCGGGGAGGAGGAGTGAGGGGACCGGGACGGGGGCGGGGAGGAGAACTGAGACCCGCACTCCGCAATTCTACCCGCCCTCCCCTGGCCCCACTTTCTCCAGACTCAGGGTCAACCCGGGCTTTTTTCAGAGTTTGTGTGTGCAAAGTGAGTGCTTGCGTCCCCCGAGCCCTCGGAGGGCGCAGCAGCTCCTCCGCCCGGCGTCTCCCAGGCTCTGGCTGTGCGCTCCGGTAGGCGGCCTTAGCACGTGACCGCAACTTTCCGCAGCAGCCTCCGCAGGGCCTGGAGCCCTGGCCTGCGCACACCACACGCTTGAGAGCCCCGCGTCCTCACCAGGGTCGTAGGGACATCCAGAAAAAAGCAAAAAGGGGGACGACACTTCCCAAGTTAGCCCTCCTCGTTTTTTGTTTGTTTGTTTGTTTGTTTGTTTTGTATTGGGACGAAACTGGGGAATTGTGGGACAAAACCATAAACCTGAGCGTATTTTTTTAGGAGACAAGACAAGAAATCAAAAATTTTGACAGCTAAGTTGAGCAGTGTATTGGCCGCGCACGCGAAATAGTACAAACTTGAACTCCGCGCCCAGACCGGGAACTGATTTCCGGGGCGTCACTTGAGAAACAGAGTTATTGTGCCAGTCTCGCTTTTGGAGCCTGGGGTTCTGGCTCCCGCCGCCGCCGCCACCACCATCACCATCACCATCACCATCACCATCACCATCACCATCACGTGGACGCGGAGTGGAGCGCTTGGTTAAGAACAAAGAAGAAGATCCAAGTACAGTAATGTTTCTTGGGCAAAAATGAAAGCCAGTGTCAAAGACTAGACCTAGGCCTTGTCCCCAGGCGGAAAGTCTAGGAGTCTGTGGCAAGAAGGAGACTTAGAAGCCGCTTTTTGGGGGTGGGGGTGGGACGACCATGGCTCTGTAGGGGTCCAACCTACCTCTCCCCCGATTCCTCAACATTTTCGTCCTGCTGGCTCATTTGTAGGCATCAAAACTTGTGGAAAATACTCCTGAAGCTCACCAAATTGTCTCAAAATCAAGATGGGAATGCCCCCCTTCTTTTTCCTAATGAAGCAGGGTATCCATCCAGAAGGGCACTGAATAGAAACGCGCGCGCGCGCACACACACAGACACAGACACACACACACACACCCCATCCCCACCACCACACCATCCAGCCCTGGCAAAAGGCACAACACGCGCACACACCCGCAGCCTGTTCGTCCTGTGTTCTGCGAGCCCGGCTGTAATTATCCGCGCATTTTGCATAAATCACAATGCAATTCTGAAATCATCATGATGACTTTCTGGCATGATTGGTTCGGTGGCAACGGCAGCTACAAGATCCAGGGTTGGCGGGAGGGGCTGAGGAGGGGCCGCCCACCAGGTCCGGGAAGAGCCTAGAGCCGATGCTGCTGCCGGCCAGAGGGACCTCGGATCTAAGGTGTAGAAATCTCAGTGGATTCAGCTCAGAGAAGAAAGCCTCGGCAAGATAGAGACTGTTACTTTCCATCTTCCTATCAATGCGTGGCATAGCTGAATCATAGCTGCATAAATGTTGGGTGAATAAATAAAGGAGGGAAGTCTCCTGCAGAATTCCCAAGAAGCCCCCCCACCCCAGGCACAATAAGGCCAACCACTGGAAGCCAGCAGGTGGGGTTCAGGCTCTGTCCAACTAGCTGTGTAACCTTGGGCAAGAGATGACCTCTCTGGGCTCCAACCATCTGTAAATGATTCAACCTTAACTTTCAAAGATTTTTCCTGTGAGTCCGGGATGGGAAATAATTTTTAAGGGGCAAATGTCACCGATCTCAGAAATACTTTTTTTTTTTTTTTTAACAGAGACAAGTTCAAGGATGCGTTTATAGCAGTTATCTTGGGGAGGGAATGAAGCCATATCCCAGAGGGTCTGAAGTCCTTCTGCCCAGGTCTAAACACAGCCCTTAATTTCCTCTTTAGCTTTTTGTGATTATGGGACTCTCCACCAAACCAAAACCAAAACACAAGGAAGGCATCTTTTATTATAGGATGTTTATATTTTGGCCCAGGAGATAAGAAATAAAACCATGAGAAGGACCATGGACTCTAGGTGTGTCTCTGCCCATCCATCAATCATCACGCTCTTGATCACATACTGAATACCCACCATGTATCAAAGATTAATGACATGATCTCTTTCTCAAGGAGTCTACAGAGAAAGCAGACACATAAAAGGTGTTAAATAAACTGGCTTGGACTAAAACACAGGGCATTCTGGAAAAATACACAAGGGGCCCTAAACCAGTGTGGGGTGGACTAGGCTGTCACGGGATGCCTTGAAAGCTGGTGTTATATTAGGGGAATCTACTGCCTCTGAAAACGGTCTTATATTATAGCTTACTCTCCCTTACTCCATTACTCTTTTTGTAAATTACCATATAATGTATTATTTGTTTCAGGGATACAGGTCTGTGAATAAGAATAATCAGCCTTACACAATTCACAGTGCTCACCATAGCACACGCCCTCCCCAATGTCCATCATCCAGTCCCCCTATCCCTCCCACCCGCCTCCCCTCCAGCAACCCTCAGTTTGTTTCCTGAGATTAAGGGTCTCCCTCCCTCCCATCTCCCTCCCTGTCCCATCTTGTTTCATTTTTTCCTCCCTTCGCCCCACAAACCCCATCTCAAATTCTTTATGTCAGAAAGATCATTTACTCCATTACTCTTACTAATGCCCCTTCCCATCCATTTAAAAAAGGAAGTAGAGTCCTGCTAACTAAATGGTATAAGAGAGGCAGGGGTGCAAGGCATGCCTCCAACATCAGGTTATCTGGGTCTCACCCCTAGCTCTCTATTCACTAGCATCACCAAAAATGGTGCCCTTTTCTCCGTTAACGGTCCCCCCACCCATCCGTTCTACATTAAAACAGCAGAGGAGAAAAGAAAAAGCTTTTCCATCAGCAAAAAGAGCTGAAGTTGGTGTGGAACAGAGAGATGTCCTCCCCCACCCATGATCAACCCCCTCTCAGAGGCCATTCTACCTGTAGAGATTTATTCCTTTAAAATGCCCTTCACCTCACTGACAAGCAGAGGTGAGAAATACCCAGACCCAGAAAATGTCTGAGAGAACCTATCAGCTAAGCTTGGCTGAGGTTCGATATTCAGTCTCCAAAAGATGGTCAGATACAACTTTGCTTATTTGTTTGTTTCCATGAGGACAAAGCTGATTTTCGTTGTTTCCAAACCATAAGTCAACCTGTGCTTGATTGTTGCTTTCCCAGTAGATGGAAAAGATTGTCTAGCACAAAGTATGTGCTCAGGGAGGGCTTGCTAAGTGACAGAATGAAAGAAACCATCACATCAGGCTTGCTCCTGATTTTGCTTTGGGCCTCTCTACAAGTTGTTTAGGTCCTCTCTAATTCTACTCGGAAAAAACACACTGAAAACAATCCAGAATAGAGACCCAGATACTCTAGAACCCAGCGGGTGCTGAACCTGGAGTTTTTTCCCTTGACGTTTTCCAGGACTGTGTTGGCTAAGAGTTGTCTCTTACTGCCTACCAGATGAGAAGATGAACACTGTTAAGAGTAACCCGATTAAGACAATGTTCGGTGTGACCGGCTTCTCTTTTCTCCCCCTTCACAAATAACATTGTCTCTGCATTCATTCACATCCTCCCTCCCTTAGAGCCATAGCAGCTGAAGAAATTCAGGTCTAGAGAGAGGCTGAGGATTAGAGGCTTCTGCTTCAGAGTCTCTCTGTACCTGGATATTCTTCTTGCCCCAAGAATAATCAAATAGAAACATCTTTCCCCCACCTCTTCTTTTATCTCCTACCTAAAATGTTTTATTCATTTATATTGTGCGCTGGTGCCAGAAGAATTTCTCATGGCTCTCTTGTCAAATTGCTTTAATTTGGGACCTGGGCTCCCTCCCTAACAGAGGACTCAACTTGAGATGTATTTAAAGCAAAAACAACCAAAGATCATTAACAGAAACATAAGAGCAAAAAAATATTGTGATCTCCTTCTCCTTGCCTGGGGAAGATGGGTCAACAGAGACAAAGCTGTCTGTTTCTTATTTCCTAAGGGCA